GCTGTCCCCGCACCCACAGGGAAGTGAGAGAACCTGGCTCATTGTGCTTCCACCAGTGGCCATGGTGACGCCGGCCAGAGCAGTAAACAGGAAAAGCAGCAGATATGATCCTGCTGCACAAAAACTCATTACAATATCGATGCCAAGTCGTCAATACCCCAAACTTAGTGATAATACTTCTCCTGTTCCCTCCCAGACGATCCCCCTCTTTCAAACATCTAAAGATCTTCCTTCCCTTTGAGGAGGCATCCCCTCTGTCTCCTTGTATTACCATTTTCAAAATTCAACCCTCTTCCTGCTTGCTGAGGGCACAGTGGAAACGTGGTCATGAGCCAAGCTGCGATCTTCAAGGTAGATGGTTCAAACCCACCAGCTGCTCCTCGGGAGAAAGACATGGCTCTCTCTTCCCATAAAGAGTGACCCTCTCTATCACCCACAGGGGCAGTGCTGACCTGTCCTGTAGGCTTGCTATGGCACTTATTTACTTATTTATTGTGAGTCAGAATCGACCAGGTGGAGGTGAGCATGGTTCAGGCTTCATCGCTATCAGGGAGTCCCCCCCAGCCCACTCCTGAAGTGCTTAGACTCCAGCCCAGCGGCCAGCCATTCCAATCCATCAACCAGGTATGTGCTCCCACGAAGACTGGAGACCCTAGGAGGCAGAATGACTCTCATTGACAGTCAAGAGTTGGTTGTTCTTATCAGCATTTGCTCATCTGTTTCTTTAGCCATCTTGTTAATGGCATGTTTCCTCCACTCCCCCTGCCCCAAAGCAAACACACTCCATAGAGGCAAACATTTTTTTGGGGGGGTCTGTAGAATATACTTGCTCCACCCCTGAGAGAATTATGCATCCTTGGTAGCTTATTTGGAGAGCTGACTTATTTCTTTTCTCTCCTAACTTCCTATTCTTGCTTTCCGCACTCCCTGGTGACCACGGGTCTTTTGTGTCCTTGGATTTACCATTCAAACTCTCTCCCATCAAGTAAATTCTGACTCACAGTGACCCTCTAGGACAGTGGTGCTCTACCTTCCTAAGGCTGAGACCCTATCATACAGTTCTCATGTTGTGGTGACCCCCAACCATAACATTATTTTCATTGCTACTTCATCACTGTCAGTTTGCTACTGTGAGGAATTGGGTGACCCCTGTGAAAAGGTCATTCGACCCCCAAAGGGGTTGCGACCCACAGGTTGAGAACCACTGCTCCAGGACAAGGTAGAACTGCACCTGTGCATTTCTGAGACTGGAGCTCTTGTTGGGACTGAAAAGCCCCATCTTCCTCCTGAGAAGCAGCTGGAGGTTTAGAACGTCTGACTTTGCAGTTAGCAGTTCAATGTGTGACCACGACACCATGTGGGCACCACGTATGAGAACAAAAACAAAAACATCTCAGTGCCATCGCATCCATTCTAACTCACCGTGGCCCTAGAGGACAGGCTAGAACTGCCCCCTGTGGGTTTCTGGACTGTAACTCTTTAGGGGAGCAGACAGCCTCACTTTTCTCCCTCAGAGCAGCTGGTGGATTTGAACTGCTGATCTTTGGGTTAGCAGCTCAACACATAAGCCACTACATCACCCACACCAAAGAACCCACTGCCATGGATTCGCTGCTGACTTATAGTAACATCAGTCTTCCCTGATAGAGCATTCTAGGGGCTCATGCCTCTGTGCTATAATAATGGTCAACAGTGGACATTTACCCTCCTAAGAATGCTATGAGGGAACGTTTTATTAAAAATGACCCATTTCACTGATGAGAAAACAGAGAGGCTGTGAGTTTAATGACTTGCTTGGAACTGACAGTTGGTAGCCACCAAACAGAGACTCCCTGGGCCGAGCGCTACATCACTGGAGTCACGGGAAAGGATGAAACAGCAGCAGTCATCGAAAAGGGATGTGCAAGAGGAGCAAGGTCCAAACATTTGATGGGCAATAGGGTTCAAGTCTTGAAGCCCCTTGAGGTACTGAACCTCATCACTCTAGGATGTGGAGGAGGGATGCCGGTTATCTGTGGGAATGGTGGTTCAGAGAA